AATCTCCAGGCCAAGGCACCCCGAGTCCATACCCTGATCGAGCGGTTTTCTCTTAGTACTGGGATGTTGGAAGAGCTGAACCAGCTCCTGACTGTGGGCGGAATCTCGGCCGGTGGTACTCCAACGGCAGGAGACGATATAGTCTATCGCGCGGCCTGCGATTGGGTACGATCCAGTGAGTCTCTGTGGAGGGCATGGATTCCCACGACGTGCGATGCAGGGTCCGGTCTTGTTGATGCAGGTTGGGATGCGAGGAAGAGTTGTTGGTTCAATCTCTCTTCGGGGCTTGCGATCGAGACTTGAGTTGACAAAGCCCATCCCAGGTGGCCAATATCTTCTCAGTCGTGGAGATGACGCTGTGGGTTGCAGCGCGTGTTCCGCTGGTCGTTTCTCGGAGCCTCTTCTGGATGGCCAGGGCTTCATTTACCGCTGTGCCATGTGCCCCCCGGGCACTTCTCAGGAGTTTGCGAACCAAGTTGGCTGCAATGACTGCGACTTGGGCAGCTTCGCCAATGAGACGGGTGCCACAGCATGCAGCGCGTGTCCGTTGGGGACTTTTGCAGACCAGGAAGGTCGCACGGCTTGCGCCAGCTGCGGGGACAGTACCTGGACCACCATGGAGTTTGTGAGTGATGTGGACGAGGGCGAGGGGAGAAGCGATGGTGGTCGTCGCTGGATCGAAGTGCGTGGGGCCACATCCAAGGATTTTTGCGCATGTGTAGAAGGCCGCCATTTCTGGCAGGGTCAATGCGAGCTGTGCCTGCAGGGCGCGACTTGCCTAGGGCCTACGAATCTCACCATCGACCCAGGCTTCTTTGCCTTTCCCGAGAATCCCGGCAGCGTTTTCCGTTGTTTTGGCCTGGAGCAGCGTTGCCAGGGCGGCCTTCCTGGCAGCTGCGCAGCAGGCCGCAGCAACCAGAGCCTGGCCTGTGCCCAGTGCTTGGCGGGATTCCAGGCGCAAGCAGATGGGCAGTGCCGCGAATGTGCGGCAACGGACGTTGCCATCGTCTTTGGCCTCTGCCTGCTTGGGGTGGTCTTTGTGGGATGCCTGCATGCGTCTCTGATCGCAGAGGAGAAGTTCGCCAGCCATGGAAGCCAGCACGGCAGCCTCCTGAATGTAGCCTTGGGCCTGAGCCAGCTGGTGACGTGTGCACAGATGTTTGGCGTGATGCGCAGATTGCGGATTCCCTGGGAGGCCTCGTCATGGATCGGTTTGTAAGGGCAGATGGGTACCCTGGAAGCTTAGTTTGAATGTACTGGTGAGATCCCCCGTAAGCCGTAAGCCGTTCATGAGGAGCCGAGGCGGGCTTCAAAACAATCTGTGTTTATAAGTAGGGTAACTATAATTATAGCCCATATTAGGGGGCTTATAACCCTACTTATAACTACCCATGAACCTCCAAGTAGGCCCTAAACCCTATAATTCGAGCAGGAGCCTTTTTCGCTTCTGTTGCTGGCATCGGAGTTCCTGTCACTGGATGCGCTGGTGTATTCGTTCAGCTCTATTCAATGTGTTCTCCCGTCCTCAGCAGTGGAAGAGTACCTGGCAGCCGCATCGTTGCTTCCACTGGCCTTCGTCTTGTCTTTGATCCTTGTCCACTCTGCATACATCAGCTGGCGAAGGAGTGGTCTGCGCCTGGATCTGTTGGGGAAAACCTGCGGCTCGTTCTCCATGCTCTTCCTGATTTCAATCCTGTCTTCAATTCTGGAACCTTTCTATTGCAATTCGCATCCGAACGGAGACAGGACTATGCAGTCGCGTCATGACGTGCTCTGCAACTTCCGCGCTGAGCACCTGGAGATCTGCCTGGCTGCCGTTGCCCTTTGTACGATTCCGATTGCCTTTCTCTCCATCTGTATCCGCATCATTGTTTTCGATCTTCCACAGCGCATTCAAAGAGCCGACGTCGGCTTTGTGAATGCGTGCTCCTTCCTGGTTCTGCGATACCGTCCGGGGGTGGAGGTCTTCGCGGTGGTCGTCTTGCTCAGGAACATCCTCCTAACGTTGTCTCCTCTGATTACATCCCAGGCCGGCAGTCTGCTGGTGCTCTGCACATCCCTCTACATCACGTTCTGTGGGGTGGCCTTTTGGCAGCCCTGGCGGACGAAGCTGGCCACCTACACGGATCTGGTCATGCACGCTGGCCTCCTGCTCGTGTTGGACATGGGCAAATTCTATGCTCCCGCAGTGGAAGATGGCTACACATTAATGATCATTTGCCTCGTGGCCAGCGGTTTCATGCTTGCTTGGGGCACGGTGGTTGTGCTTTGGGCCTCCCGGCGCCGCTTCTTAAAGCGACAGCACTTCCGTTTCGCCCTTAGCCACCACACGCCCGAGGCAGGGACATTGGCGCGTTTGCTGAAGATCGAGCTGCAGAAAAGGCACAACCTGAGGACGTTTATCGGCTCTGATGATCTGACTGATCTAACGCAGCATTTCGCCTGCATCGCCCGAGATGTCGACACGCTCGTGGTCCTGGCCGGCCGCGACTTCTTGCTGCAGAGGTGGTGTGTCGGCGATGTGGTGACAGCCAAGGCCCACGACGTTGAGGTTGTGCTTCTTTCTCTTCCCGGCTTTGTTATGCCTGATCGGGAGTTTGTTGAAGCCTACGAGACGTTCGTGCCAAGGGTGAAGGAGCTTGCAGTCCACGGAATAACTCTCGAACAGGTTCGAGACTCACTCACATGGTGCAGTTCATTGGAGCGCTTTGACGTCGTGGGCTGCGATCCTGAGATGCTTGCAAAGGCAGTCGGATGGCTTGTCGGCAATGACGTCACGATCAAGCATTCGTCTGTCGTGTCTGAAAGCCGTTCCATGAGCGTTGAGGGGACCACGTACCTCATCTTAGCGGACACAACTCACATGGAGCCCCAGGCCGCGGCCTATTCCCTGTACATGGTACTGAGTGCGAAGATGTTGGAGCTGTCCTTCAAGGGATCCCTGCGTGTGATGCGTGCCGAGGATAGGGTCGACGCTCTGTCTGACTCGGGCTCCATGGAGGCTTTGCTGCTTTGCACCGCAGGGTGTTTGGAGATCCCTCAGATGGCCTCCTGGCTCCTGCAGCTGGGCCGCCTCAGCTCCAGCTTCGTCCTGCCAGTCTTTGCCGAGGACTCCTTTCAGATCCCCTCCCTCGATTCCAGCAATCCGCCAAGCCTCTCAGACGAGTTCGACGACTCGGACATGAAGCTCTACAATCAGATCCAGGAGGCTATCTTCCACGAGATCTCGGTGCCTTTCATGCCAAGGCGCGTTTGGCTGCTGTCATTTTGTAGCATGGGCTGGGTCATGAGGATGATAATTCGAAGGCATTAGACCCATGGCAGTGGAAATCATGATGCAGAGCTTTTGATGGTGACAACCACAGCACTTTCGGTGGTTACACAGGCCATAGGCATTTGATGAAGCGATTAGGCACGACAAGCAAACGAGCAGCAAGGACGCCCCGGAGCAGCACTGAATGTACGGGTGGTTGCAACAAGAGCAAGCGACAGAGTCACAACAGCTCTTGCGGCAGAAGCTATCGCATGGTCGATCATGAGACTAAACCCGAAACAACCCTAAACCCTAAACCCTAAACACTAAACCCTAATCGTTGCCAGGAGCTCCAGCGCCCGGCAGCTGGACCTCCAGGCGAAAATCATCGTCGAGCGCCTCTCGCAGACCCGACAGCCGATCCAAGCGCGACCTTCCATGAGAGCATTCCCAGGCCTGGAGGGTCGGAAGTCGGAAGGAAATAGAAGAGACCCCTCAATATATATATATATATATATATATATATTACAAATATATATATATATATATATATATATATATAAATAATGATTAAGACCTGCAAAAATTGTCCAGGTGCCTGGCACAGTCCGGGCATGGAAGATCTGCTGATGGTCGATGTGAGTTTAAGTGATGAAACGTTTAATATCTAAGCCCCCTCTTCGTGCCCAAAGCCGATGACTTCACAGTGTGATTGTTTAGAGCGAATGGGTACACCACCGTGTTAAAGGAGTCAAGAGAGAGGCTTGGGCACCCTTGGCCCCTTTTCTCCTCAAAAGGTCTGTCCAGTTGCATGGGGTTCCGTTCGATTGAACGAACCGGCTGTCATTGCACGGCCATCGGTTAATGATGGAGCATGCATGCGAAGTAGTGACATGGGCTCCCATCACTAGTCTTCTGAACTGTGGAAGGCCCGTCGGCAACCGATGTGGCATTTTCTGGCACAGCTTGGGCTAGTTGAACCCGCTGGCAACGCACATGTCGTGTGTCTTTCCAGCTTCAGTCTGTCTGTCGCTGCTTTTCCCGGGACGGCGCGTGAACAAGAGCATTTTAGGGTGCTGGTTCTGGTTAAGAAGTGGCCCCTCAATTCTGCTATTGTTTCTGTTGATCGATAATTATTGAGACGAGCAGTTTGTTGGCCCACGTCAGCATCCCAACAACATCTTCAACACTGTCGGTTCCTGTTCCACTAGACGGCACCACATGTGCATCTCACTGTAGACTGCTTACGAACCCGACCACGCAACAGGCCCCCAGTTCGTCCTCCGTTTTCAGCCCCCCACACAAAGCAAAACACCCTGCCGCTGAGCAGGATACCCGGCTGAGGGGGGGGACACAGTTCATCGTCTCAATAGCTGAAAGGTTGCACGGCTCTGAACCACTGCGCAGGTGTTCAGGCTCGAAGCTCAAGAAGCTCAAGCCATGTGGGACTCATTGTTCAGGCTTCTTGAGGATGAAAGTTGAGCTATGCATTTCTGAGTTCACGTCGCAATATTCATTTGCCGTCAGGAATGTTTCATGCAAGGACAATCTTGACAAGTTGTTCCTGCCATCATTCCTAATCGGGAGTAACAAGCTGTGCTGTCGCATGCTTCTTGCATGAGGGCGCACCACCAAGGATCAGCCCGCTACCCGGAATTCCAAGTGCTTCCAGTCTAAAGTTCGACTTGCGTTCTTCCAGCGGCCTCAGTTGAACGAATCAAGGTGGATCTGGTCGCCCACTTGCGACATGGCTGCCGCATCCTCAAACATGTTCAGTGCGAAGGACACCGGAGACCCCGTAAATCCTGAGCCCTCAGTTATTTCGTTACCAGCAAAAGCTCCGAGTCAACCTTGATTACGTTTGGGGCAAGCCGTCAACTGGACTTGCATGTTAACCATTAGGTGCTTGTTGGGTGCATCACATATTCAGCCTGCAACAACTTCTGCACATTTCTCATTCATCCTGCCACCCGCAGTACATGAACCACTAGCTTTCGTGATTGTTGCGCTTACGTTGTTGACATTCTGTAGTTACTGTGGCGGATCCCATGCCGTACTCTCGCCCTGACACTGGAGGCGACTTCGAGCAGGCCTCCGAAGAAGAAAGCCGATGCAGTGACTTCCACGGCATCGCAAGAAGCTGCAGAAGCTGCGAGAGGGAGCGCAGGGAAGCTTGCGGAGCAGACTCGAGTCCGCTTGGTTGGCCTGGAAGCCTTCGTGGATCTCAACGGCCAGCTGGGAACGCTGCTTTCCTTCGATTCCTCCCGAGGTAGATGGCAGGTGCGGCTCGACTCTGGGCAGGTGAAGAATGTGCGGGCGAACAATCTCGTGAACATCGCCCAGACTGGCGCACCAGAGGAGAAGCCAGCAAAGGGCGTCAAGCGCGCAGCGGAGGCTCCCTGCTTGAAGCCCCAAGCCACCCCCTTGCGATCGAAGAGCAAGGCAGCCGTGAAGGCAGGGCCAGAGCTTCTCTACTCGGTGCCCTTCTGCAGCTTTGCCCCCGAATCTTAAGCCCTGAAGAGAGCAGGTTCTGGAAGCTGCCCCAAAAGCGTTGGTGCAAAGGCCAAAGCCTTATCCTGTATCTTCTTATCCATGCAGGCTTGAACACGAGGGTTGTTGTGCAGCCTCTTTCCATAACTCATATATATATATATATATATATATACCGACCTCATCTCAGTAGTTAAGTAGGTTTAAGTTGGAAGGTTACATCGGCAGACATACGACCTGGTCAAGAGCTTGTGAGAAAGATGTGAAGTCAACGGCATGCTAGCAAAGAAGCAGGAGGTGGATTTGAGGGCTTCAGAATCCGTAGCAGTCCCCGGATCCCTGTGGAGTTGACAGGGCACTGCTACAGTGCTACAGTCGGTCATCAACTCTATTGCTCTCGGAGCAAGATCGGATGCTGCGTGTTTGCGTGCTTTTAGCCGCTTCCAGTCCAGAGTTTTATGACATTTACCAGGTCACAAGTCATAGGAGTCAGCGACTGGACTTCCTGTACCCTGCAGAATTTCACACTCCAGGAAGCTACCGCAAATCTAGGCCCAGATGCTCAGCAGCACTCAGGTCCACCATCCCAAGACCGAACAGGCCGGCGTTGGGCTCAGACGACTGCAAAGCTTGTCATGTTCATGAGGTTGTGTAGCTTGGATTCGGGTAGTTCAGGATCATTTAGGGTCTTCGAGTCTCGAACATCCTCGCAGTTTAAGTTTCTCAAGTTTCTCCGTTTCGGGACATTCCTCAACACTCCCACGAGCCCAGCCTTGAGCTTGAGTGGGTTGGAGCCGAGGCTGCTCAGAAGTTGGTATTCTTGAGATAGAAAGGCTAGGGCTTGAAGTTGTCAGTGATCGTCGTCGTCATCGTCCACACAGTTCCCATTCTCTCCATCATGTTTTTCTCGTCGTCATCACCATCAGCGTCACCATCATTGTCATCATCATTTCCTCCCTCTCCTCCTCCTCATTCTCGCCTCACACCCGTCATCTCAAGGATGTCGTTATCAGTCATCATCATCCTCATGATTCCCTTCATCTCCAGCATGTCTGTTGTCGTCGTCGTGGTTGTCGCCACTATCACCCCTTTTAATCATAAACAACAACAGAATAGTTGTTTAATCTCATCACGCATTTGCTGTTATTAGTACTGCTACTGTTGCTGCTACGGTTACTGCTGTCGTTGCTTATTGCTACTGCTACGGCTGTTGCTGCTGGTACGGCTTTGGCTACGGCTGCGGCTACTGCTACTGCTACTTGTACGGCTACTGCTGCTGAAACTACTGCTGCTACTGCTATTGTTCTTCTGCTCCGTCTTCTTTCAGTGGTGTTGTTATGGTTACTGTTCTTCTTCTTCTTCTTATTACTACCATCATCATCATCATCGAAATTAGCATCATCAGCTTTCTCCTTCTCCTAATCCTCATCCTCATCCTTATCCTCGTCCTCTCATCATCGTCACCGCCAGCGTCATCATCGCCACCATCACCATCAACATCACCATCAACGTCACCATCACCATCACTCAACATGATCGTTATCATTTTGATGATGGTCACAGTGACCATGCGCCGCGGGGGAACATGCACCAATACAATCATGCAACACCAGCACAGTGAGAGCACCTGTCCATGCATGTCCGTATGGAGGCAGTCTTGACCACAGCATTTTGCAGTGCTCAACGTTTCAATCATGGAGGGGGGACCAGGGGCAGATCCGGCAGCGATCAGGAGGTTCAGGAACAGGTCAACCCGTGGGTCGACACTTGAGAAGCTGAACCAGACAAGGCAGTCGACGCCCGTCAGAGTGAATGAGCCGGGTCCAGAGAATGACCTTGACCTCGACGCTCTGTCGGCCAGGCTTGACAGTGTTGAGGGCTTGGAAAAAGCTATTCAGGCCCATCTCTTCGGAGTGGAGGAGCGAAGCAGAACAAGCTTGGATAACAAAGTGCAGGAGATCATGAGGCTCCTCGAAGAAATACTGGAGACCGTGAAGTCCAAGACTGCTGCAGATTTGCAGACCTTGGGATGCTTGGCTGACTTGGGGAAGCACTTTACCTGGCCCATTCCAGGCCCCTCCCAAGGCTTCGAAGCGGTTACCGAGCCCCCTAAGAGCTCCCGATAATGCGCAGCAAAGACAGAGCCCTGGGCCCTGGACTCTGATCAAGCTTCGAGAACTCTCAGCAGCCTCAGAGTATTTGGGATCCTTAGAATAAGGATCTTACTACTTAGGGTACTATAACAGGGTCCCCTATTTTCAGAAACTCCCATAGGGAAACTCCAAACAACGCCCTGAAGCCTGAACCCCTGAAGCTTCATCAGCCCTGAAGCCGGCAAGGAACCAGCGCCGAGGTGGGACTCCGCGTGAGGTTTCTAGGGTTTATGGCTCAGGGTTTGAGCTTTTTTTTGCCGGATTCAGGGTGAAAGTTATGCCTGAAACCCTAAGCCTTATACCAGAAAACCCTGAACCCTGAGCCCCAAGCAGTTTTGTCCCTGAGCCCGAAGTGCACACAGGTGAAGCCGCCAGAGATCTCCCCGCGGTTTGCGGAACTGCCATCGCTCCCCTTTGGAAAGTCCGCCGAGTTAGAAGAGGCGGGAAGACAGAGTTTGGGCTTCAGAGTTTGGGGTTCGGGTTGAGGGTTACTAGAAGGGTCTCTAGAGGGCCGTAAGCCCTAGACCCCAAGGCGTCAAGACAGGACCCTTGCGTGGAAGAGCCGCGCAAAGAGGAGTCGACGGTCCTGCAAGGTGTGACGACCTCTCTGTCCCGGGGCCTCATTCAGCCAAGGTTCACTTGGAGGATCATTGGAGTTACCTTACTTATAACCCCAGTTACTAAGTCCCATGAGCCTTTAAGCAGATTTAGGGTTTAGTAGACGTGGCCGTGAGGGACGGAACTATACTGACTACAGATGAGCAGGTCCTAAGCGAGTTTGTGAGTCCTCGGGCCTTGTTCGGGTCCGGGGCAACCACGGAGCCTTAGATTCAACCCTCAACCCTCAACCCTCAACCCTCAACCCTCAACCCTAAACCCTCAACCCTAAACCCTAAACCCTCAACCCTCAACCCTCAACCCTAAACCCTCAACCCTCAACCCTCAACCCTCAACCCTAAACCCTAAACCCTCAACCCTAAACCCTAAACCCTAAACCAAGAAAAAAGAAACCCTAAACCCTAAACCCTAAGAAGCTGAAACCTTGACCCTCAAACTAGACCTTAAACCCCACCAAGTCTCCCTAAGCCCGGAAGCCCAAAACGAAAAATCACAACTCCGGCCGTGTGACATCTTGATGAACTCTCTAGAAAATAGAAGCCCCTGTAAGGCCTGATGAGATCAACGTAAACCCCAAACTTCTTCAACTCTAAGCCCAAAGCTCCGAAACCCTAAGCCTTAAACAACCCTGATCCCTGAAGACCCCGTGACAAAACCTATCTTGAAGCGCCGCAAAGGTCGGATTTCCGGCTCCAGAACAGCCAGTCAACGATCCTCAACCTCGATGAGGGTGTCCGGGCTGCCACCCGATGCAGTTTGCTTTTGGGCTTTAGGACTTCGAGGCTTCGGTGCTTTAGGGTGTTAGGGTGTTTTTGTTGGCTTTGGGTTTAGGTTTCGGGACTTTCACTCTTCCAGGTGGATGATTCGAGGATGTCGTTTGTGTTTCGTTTTCGGAGGCAACACCAACTGGAAAGAATTTCAATTGAACCAGGCTTCCAGCATGGACAAGGTCCTTTCGGTATCCGTTGGCAAGAAGATCTACCGAAGGCACTTGTTCAAGCGAGTTATGTGGTCCTGCTTAGAGGATGAGAGCTCATCAAGAATGGCTTGGTATTATGGCTACTGCATGGACGCTTTCATCGTGTTCTCCGTTCTCTTGCCCCTCTTTGAATCTTCTCAAATTGGCGAGGCAGATATGGTTCCGATGATGGCTCCCATGTCGGTCATCAATCTGGGATTTGACGTCATCTTTCTGATTGACTTGTGCTTCCGCTTCCTAGCATGGCCAACCATGTCGCACTTCCTCTGCAACGCGTACAATGTGATCGACATGTTTGTGCTCCCCTCCTTGGGTATTCGCGTGGCCCTGGGCGTGAACATCAGCCCCACCTCACACGTGATGTGGAGCACGTTGCTTCTTTGTTTTTTCCCGGTCTTAAGGCTCCTGAAGCTTCTGCGGCGATTTCAGACCTTCCAAGTTCTCCTGAGTGCATGGTGGGCTGTCTTCGAAGCACTGCCCATGTTGATCTTTGTGCTCGCCATCATTGCGCTTACCTTTGCTGCAGTCCTCTTTTCTGTTGAGCCTCGGTCCAACATCGCTGACTGGGGAAGCGCTCTTTGGCTGACTGTGGTGTCCATGACTGGGCTGGGTTATGGTGACCTGTCGCCTTGCACACCCGAAGGGAAAGTCTGCGTTTCGATTCTCATCATCACCAGCCTTCTGTACCTTTCCATTCCATTCGGAATTTTGGGCAGTGCCTTCACACTTGCATGGAGTCAGCGTGATGCAGTCATGGCTGTTCGCAAGTTGCGCAAACACCTCGCCAATCACGGCTTCACATCGGAAGACATGCGGAAGCTGCTGCAGCACTTTGACTTGGACCACGACGCAGAGATTTCGCTTGTGGAGTTTCGCACAATGATCAACCATGTGATGATAGGATTCACAAACGAAGAGGCCAGCGATTTGTTCGAAAGTCTAGATTTCCAGCAGCGCGGGCTCATTCGCGCTGCTTCGTTCCTCACGATCGTGTTTCCCCGTGAGTTTGAAGAGTGCAAGCAAACCTACGTGCCAGCCCTCAGAAAGAAGCACAGGATTTTCTACTAGACGCCATCTTCTGGCCCTGCTTCCGGGGGCTTTCAATGTACAGACTCTGCATCCTGCCTAGGAGGCTCTTCGTAGCTCTGACGTCTCGGAATTCCGGATGCTGTAACCCATAGACCCAGAAACCAAACCCCAAGCACCCTCAATCCTAAACCCCTAAACCCCTAAACCCCTAAACCCTAAACCCTAAACCCTAAACCCCTAAACCCTATACCCTAAACCCTAAACCCTAAACCCTAAACCCCTTAACCCCAAACCCTAAGCTTAGATCCCAGCTTCCGTGGCGACTTTTGAGGTAGAAAGGAGCCTTCAAGTTGCGATTTCCAGCGCATCCCAGGAAGGCGGAAATCGCTTCCCGTCCGAGGGGGCTGCTCTGATTTATAGTATATTGGAGTATATCACTGTCTATTGTAATCTATTGTAGTCTATGGTAGTATAGTATAGTATTTTATAGTACATCGTAGTCTAGAAGGGCTCTTAAGGAGGTAAGATCTTAGGATTTACTACAACATTTAGGGTTTAGTTTGCGCCAGGGAGTTTTTGAACCTTCAGAGCAACCACCATGAGCATCAAAGATGCAACCGGGAAGGAATGGGAGTGATGCGCCTGTAAACAGGGATGGGGCTAAGCTCTTGGAAAATGTGTGGAACCGGTCCCTAAACCCAGCCCCTGCGCTCGACACGAGGCCAAGCCCCCAGCTGATAAGTGTAGTTTTGGCTTTGCCCTGGAAGGCCTCCGTAGGTCTCTCGTCACATGTGCGAATGATCCGCTGCATGCGAAGCTGCTTTACATCGCTCGATTGGCCTTGTACCAAGGCTGAAGCCCCAGCTGATGAAGGGGGGTGCCCGACTGCTTGACTTAAGTGCGACGTGCTTCACAGCGTTGATTGCTCCTGACACGTGCCGAGCCACAAATGCACCTCTCAAGCGCACGGCATGATCCTTGCTCGCATGCCACGTGTTGTGTGCATGCCCAGGGGCTTGTGAGCATGTGTCATTATTATAACTATAGTAACTATTATAACAACAGTAAATACAATAACTGTAGTAGTTAATACAACTGTAGTAATTATTATAGTTATACTACTTTGTCATTTCTTGGGCACAGCTTCCGAAAATCGAAGGAAATCCTCATAGGGCCGCCCGACAGCAGCAACCTCGAAGCCTCTACAAGGCCCTCGTTTCCTCAAGCCCTCTGGACCTGAAACCGGGGTCCCTTTTCGGGTCCCTAATACAGTACGGCACCTTTTTATTTAGGGTACCCAAAAAGGAACCATAATTTTTTTATTTAGGGTACCCAAAAAGGAACCATAATTTTGTCAACCAGAAGGCTTTTTGATATAAACCTGTCTCATAGAAGCCCCAGCCAGGCGAAGTGCGGCGAAGAAGCTCAAGGTGCCTTGTGGGCACTCGCGGCACCCCTTATAGAACCCTTAAAGGACCCCTTATAGAACCCTTAAAGGACCCCTTATAGAACCCTTAAAGGACAGGAGCTGAGTACCGTTGCCTCTGCAGTGACAAAGTCGCTGTAACCTTTGCAGATGCGAGGAGGCCCCGAAGCAATGCGGGTCCTCAGCTCGCTCTAAATCCCGCATCCGAGACCCTGAGCGACAAAGCTCAAAGGCCCGAACAGTCCCAAACTCAGAATCCTCCAAGTCTGAAAATCGCGAAGGCCATCGCGGCAGTTTCCTCTTTCAGCCCCTTCGTGTGTAAATCTCCGAAGGTGGCTCGTGATGCTGCGAATCCAGCAGCTGTGACAGGCTGCCCACCGCTAAGACTCTATGAGACGAGTACTAGCCACGAATGAACTAGTGGAACTCTTCCGGGTGATTGCCCGAACCCTAAATCCTAATCCATGCTTTCGAGAGACTGCTTGACTTCGCTTTCGCGATTTTGGCCAGCCTTTCTCACGTGGGAGTTTCAAAAAGGTGGGATCCACATATAGACCCGAAAAAGTATTGAAGTATCTTACAAGGAAGCCTACAAACGATGCCCTGATACACTCACCCGTCCTCGCGAATCTGGCCTTCGTACCCAAGAAGTCGGAACAGCTCATAAAACACACGCCGAAGCAACATGTTTCGACTGTCGAGAATCTTCCTTCGGCGACTTTGAAAGGATCTTGTCGGACACCAAGCTCGAAGATGGCTGCTTTGCCTCAACAAGCATCTTGCGGCTTGTCCGAACTTCCCAGATGTGGTTGAACTCCAAGCTCCAAACCTCCTTCCAGAAGCTGTAGCCCATCCACAACCTGAAGGTCTAAGAGAGCCCAAAGCCCACAACAACTGGTCCTTAAAGCTGAAGTTCGTGAACCATAAGCTCCGGCTTTCTTGGCGCCAGGTAAGAAGCAAGAAGAGCAGGAAGAGGACCTTCACCCGAATTAGGAGTTGAGATCTGGGCTCTTCTTTGCTGAGATCTTTTCTTAGGGGCTTCGAAGGCTTCTACTCACAAGCCCTGAGCCCTGACAGGTAATATAAACTCCCCGAAGAACCCACACCTCTCGGCCCTGATAAAGACTGTTGTAGAACCCCACTTCGAAGAGAATGTGGCAGGACGAGGACGCACCGCTCTTCTCCGATGTCGAGGAGTTGGAGGGTGAAGAGGAGGCAGCGACCCTAAGACCGGCGAGCTTCTTTCTTGCGCCGGCGATGTGATGTTGGGTGTTTAGGGTTTAGGGTGTGGGGGTTGCAGCCTTGATCATGTGGGACTTAGGCCTTTTCATGACTTACGCTTTAGATGACCAGTTTCTGGCGTGCTGTTCTTGTCGTTCAGGGCGGGCGCTATGCTTGCTGAGCGCCCTCCCTGTGTTTGCAGCGTTGGCCGAAACCCTAGACCCTGCAACTGGAACCACTGTAAGACGCAACAGCAACCCTCATCCCTAAACCCTAAACCCTAAACCCTCATCCCTAAACCCTAAACCCTCATAATCGCCGCTTTAACCGGTGAGCCCAAAGCTGGCCAGGTGTCAGAGACCTCCGATGAAGGCGGGCCCCCCAAGCTAAGGATTGTGGAGGAGTTGAGGCTTGAGGTTTCGGGAAACTTGTAGGGAGGGCTGATGGGGTTTCGAGCTTTGGGTTCGCGAGTTTAAGGTTTAGGTTTCGGCTTAGGCACGCAGTGTTGAAGGTTCAGGAGCCAAGCTTAGAATTCCATCCTCATCTCGGATTTCGAAGCTGCATCGAGAGCCGTGCTCCCAACCTTTGAGTCCAAGCTGAGGGGTTAGGGTGCACAAGTCTTGGGGTTTGGGGTTTCATCGCCCCACCTTGAAAAGCAAGCATATCCTGCTGCAGACGTCGATGAGGAGGATGACGAAGAGGCGGGCCTCAAGGAGTAGATTCGCGTTGTTTTCGACAGCCGGTGCAGCTGTTGTACATTGTGGTGCGCATCGTTTCGCTGTGGTTTGTCATCCCGATACGATGGACAGATTGCATTAATAAGAGGTGCTTCTGTGTTCATCACGGTTTTACCCTGTTCGTTAGGTTGGTGTGAGATGTGCTGACAACTAGCCACGGTTTGTACGGCGTTTTCTTCGGGACAGCCGGAAATGTGCTCGACAAATGGCATGGACATCCTAATCCTCAAGGGAAGACGAGACTCTCGCTGCTTTGGGTTTCAGACTTTAGTCTCGGTTGATCTGTTTTTCAGGTTTAGATTGTTGCTGCTGTCCAAAGTACAAGCACCAGTAGAGAAGACGGAGCACGAACATATGAAGGCAAGGTAAACCTCGAACCTCAAGCGGGTGCCCTGCACAACTGGGCACACTTCAACACTAGATCCTCATTCCGAAGTCGAAAACCCTACAGCCCAAGCCTTACGCCCCCAAAATTTATGCTTCATGCCTGAAAAAGGAGTGTTCTATAAAGAATGACCACAAAGGCTACACCGAAAGTCCGAAACGAGTCCTGAATCGCTAAGTCCTACGATGCCAGTGCTCCGAACCCCCCAAACCCGCAAGCCTTGAGGAAAAAGGCATAACACTCAAACAGAGCCTGATAAAACCTGGACGGACCTGCAAGGAGGGCTTAGCTAGTTGACCCTGAACCCTAAACCCAAATCCTAGCCTAAACCCTAAGACTCTTGCAGCACCCGTGCAGTAACCCTTAGAATAACCCTTTCAATGAACAATCCTCAGCAATAATGATACTATTTACAAACCATACTCATTGTAATATTAGTGTCAGTAATTCTGAAAACTCAACAATAATGATACTGTTTAACAAACCATACTAATAGTAATATTAGTGTAAAAAATTCTGAAAACGAAGAAACTCCAGTTCGACTGGGAGCCGGTGGGCGCTTTGGACATGCCCAAGGCAGGGCTGCGTTCTGGTAGTTTTTTTTTTTTTTGAGGGGGGGGGGTGGAGGGTTTCATTTCATATAGGTTTCGGGGTTGATAGTTTTTTTTTGATGGGTTTCAGGAGTGTGTTGCTTTTACTAGGTTTTATATGGCTTTTTGGGGTTTCCACAGAGTTTGTGGGTCTAAGGGCTGTGTACCTTGCTTTAGACTTTCTTGGCGGCGGGTTGGGTGGTAAGTCTGCCTCTCCGAGTCTTCGAAGATTCCCCGGCTCAGAATTTTCATGGGCTTAGGTTAGAGTTTAGGGTTAAGGGTTTAGGGTTTAGAGTTTAGGGTTTAGAGTTTAGGGTTTAGGGATCTTTTCAGGGTGTCCAGGACGTGTGGCATGTCAGCCTGCTCGGGTTGGGGAGCTTGTTCAAGATCCAGGTCCAGGTCCCTTTTTCTCCACATGAGGGTATTTTAGATGGTGTTTGAAGTTCTTGTTACAACACATACTTAAAGCCCGAGAAACCCTAAAGCCTCAAGGCCCTTGACTCCGTCTCTTTGCGCAGCATCGACACTTTCCCGCAACGGCCTGAACGAGTCCTACTGTTTTCTGCCATAGTATCGGGTTGCATTACTTCAATTGGCGGCTAACTCCTCAAACCCAAACGCTTAAGCCCAAGGCCTCATGAAGCCGATAACCCAAACAGATTAAACAAAACTGGCAGCCCCGATCCCCCCGTAGCTTAGAGACTCCTGAACCTGAAGCCCGAAAGCATCCACAGCCTCAAAGCCGTAAGTAAACCCCTAAAAACCCTAAACCCCAAATCCCCAAGCCCTAAACCTTAAACCTTATGGCCCAGTACCCCTAAACCCTAAACCCCTTAAACCCTTCAGCCGCAAGCCCGAACGCCGCGAAGCAGATGGACAGGTGTGGCCCCGGGAGGGCCTGAAGCCTGGCCAGGAGGCTTCTTACGAGGGGGGTTTCTTACCTCCCAGAGACTCCAATATCCCTTAATCAAGGAATATTCCATAAATCATATTAGGGATTCTATTATAATTTAAGGTATATTCCTTAATTAAGGGATATTGGAGTCTCTGGGCTTGGGTTAGTAGGGAATGGAGGAATGGGGTACCATTATAACTACTATTACTACCATCTTCCATTCCCTACTAACCAAAGGTACGGTTTAGGCTTCTTTAGGGTCTGAGGATCATCACTGGAATTTTTGGAAGGTGTGTGTGTGGGGGGGGGGGGTGGAGGGGTTTAGAGTTTGGCTTTTTTGCGGTGAATGTGCTGGCCAATTTGTGCTGAAAGTTTGTTGGCAGGATTCAGGAAGGCCTCTGGGGTGTGTAGAGCCTTGGATTTGGTTTTCTTTTGAAGGATTTTCAGAGGGCTTTTGGGTTGACGGGTCTGTGTCGTGCTAGGCTAGGGCTTATGGGGTATGAGGAGGGTCAGGGTCATGCGGTATTCTGGGTTTTGAGTTAAGCTTTAGCGGGTTTAGGGACCCTAAGCTCCAAACCCTAGACCCTAGATCCTGCGCCTCAAACACCCAAACTCTAAACTCATAGCCGCTGGAGAAAAAGAGTTCAACAAAAGAAAACCCGCAGCCACAAAGAAAGGTTTGTGGCAGTGCAACTTTCTTTAACACCCAGCTGGCCCAGAGACTCCAATATCCCTTTATTCAGGAATATTCTTTAAATCATATTTGGGATCCTACTATAATTCAAGGTATATTCCTGATTAAGGAATATTGGAGTCTCTGGGGGCAGGGCTTTACGCAGCAAGCATCCCGCTGCCTTGCCCCAGCCTCAGCAGTGCACTTTTTTGTGGGTTTAGGGTTTAGGGTTAGGGGTTTGGGATTTAGGGTTTAGGGTTTAGGGTTTGGGGTTTGGGGCTTGGGGTTAGGCAGGCTTCTGGGAGGTTGGGCATTCAGGGTTCAGCGGCATTCTGACCATGTATTTTGGACGCATTGAGGTCCTAGCTGTAGCCGCACTCATTTCGGATATGGTGCTTCGTTATTATGTGGCTTGCTCGGCTTTGTAACAGTTTCTACCGCAGCTAGTGAGTCTTCAATTGCTGCTACGAGGACTGCTACTTCAACGAGCTGCTGATGATGCTGATGATGGCTTTCGATGCAAGTCGTACTGTTTTTTGCTGCAGTTGCCGGTCGCTGGTATCACTGGCATCACCGCTACTCTGTTTTCTGCGGCTTGAGTCCAACACTTCCAACAGAAGGAAAACTTTTCAACGCTCGCCAGCCGGAAACCTTGAAGCCCTCGGCCCGAAACCCACAGCCTATATGGGAGTTTCCAAAAATTAGGGGTACCTTATTTTGGTCCTTATAATAAGGATCCTACTATTTAGGGTACTATTATATTAGGGTTCCCTCTTTTCGGAAACTCCCATATTATGAAGTCTTAGAAAGTGCCAGACTTGTCGACGGCGCAGAACACCATCCGACACGCAATCCCCAAACCCGGCAACTTCATGCCCCTGAATCTTCAATGCCCGGAGTCTCAGCCGAAACCCTACACCCCTGAATGCCCAAGTCCAGGAGCCAAGATCTTTATCGATCGTGGTATCTTTCCCGCTCGGAAATAATCTATAACGAGCCGAATGCTGATGGCAAGCAGAATAAACAAAAAGCAAGAGCTTATGATAGTGCTGTAAGGGTTTTGTGGAAGTCTGATGTAAGGTCATTATAGTGGTTGGAAGTGCCGGAGGCTCAAGCGCGCCTTGGCACTCAAAGAAGCCCCTTCGTTGGCCTCGGAATGCGGCTTCACCAGGAAGAGGGAGGGCAGAACAGAGACTTGCGCTATAGCAGAGTGGAGTAGGCCTTCCAGCGGAGCATGTTGTCACGCTGTTGTTTTTTGTGGAGCCACGCTTAATATGTAGCAGCCTTGACCTCAGCCGGGCAGCAGCTTCGCAAAGGCTTGTGTTGGGAGGCTGTGCTTCGGCGATTCTACGGCCATTTGGAATTTGTTAACGCCGCTTCTTGTAGCATGCTCCGGGCATGCAGAGTGCAAAGATGACATCATGTTGTCACATGTTCGCCCTTCTTGTGCTCCGTGAAGATTCTTACAATCCGACACCCAAAAGCCCTGAACCCTAAACCCCAAGTGCCCCTTAAACCCTGACACGCGCAACCACGTGCACGCAAGGTACCCCCCTAGAGCCCAAAACTTCTAAGTTAAGCCCTAGATTGAGCTCGCCAGGAGTCCGCCTCCTTCCTCTTGCACCCAGACAGTCCCGTGGAGAGACTCCTCGTGGACCATGCCACTGGAACTGGCAAGGCGCCAAAGAACTCCTCCAGCGCACTGTAAGGTGATAAAGGGGTTCTTTGAGGCTTTCAGAATGCTTAGGGCTAAGGGTTTTCGGGTCGAGGGCTTTAGGTCTTCTTAGATGGTTCAGGGCGTAACGGCTGGGTTTTCCGGGTTTGGGGTCAGGGTTTGGGGTACCGGTATCGACTAGAAGGGGAAGTGTGCCAGCGCTGGCAAGAACTGCAGCTGATCAGAGTACCCTGTCAGACTCTCATCATGCTCCGAATGCTGGACAATTACTTCGATGACCCGCGCCCGAAGGTCGGGACAATGTCACAGGGCTGCCTGGATTTGAACTGCTTCTCTTCCCGGTAATAACAGTCAGTGGGGTTTCTGAGTAGAGCTAGAGTAAGATATAAAGAGAAACAGTACCAGTAGAGGAGGAGTAGTAGTAGTAGTAGCAGCAGTAGCAGTAGCAGTAGCAGTAGCAGTAGCAGTAGCAGTAGCAGTAGCAGTAGCAGTAGCAGTAGCAGTAGCAGTAGCAGTAGCAGTAGCAGAAGTAGTGGTGGCGGTGGCGGTGGTGGTGGTGGTGGTGTGGTGGTGGTAGTAGAAGTAGTAGCAGCAGCAGCAGCAGCGGCAGTGGCAGTGGTCGCGGTAGTGGTAGTGGCAGTGGTAGTGGTGATATCGGCAGTGGCAGTGATAGTGGCCGTGGCCGTGGCGGTGGCAGTGGCAGTGGCAGTAGATGCAGTAGTAGCAGAAGTAGAAACAGAAGAGGAATTGAGAAATTCAGGTAGAAGCAGACGGAGAGGCAGGAGGTGCAGCAGGTGATAGTCAAGCGAATCGCCACAACATTATCGGTGATAGTTCCTAAGGCGATCAGAGGAATGTAGCGGAAGTGGCCACGAATGATATTGGTATGACTGATAAAATAAACTGCAAGAGTATGCTTTGTAGGCAGAATGTGCAGTAGCATGCATCCTACCCAGATCGGCCGCAGTAGTCGCAGTAACCACAGCCATGAAAGCTTTGAGTAGTTGCCGATATCTCGATTGCCGTATTGATGAACAAGCACCATACACAGCACTAACCAGAGAAAGCGAAGTACCAGACACCGCCCTCTTTAGCCCATTGCACTTATGATAGTCAGGGTTCGAGTCACGACAAGTAGAACAATGCTCGAGCTACCGTGGTGACTGATTTGAACAGGGCACTAAGTCGGTGATAGCGTTGATGACCATGCTGGAGATGACGACAAAGATGATGGCGATGCTGCTGCTGCTTCCGCTGCCGCTGCTGCGAGCAAAAACGGTGATGATGGGCCATCACCACCATCATCATCATCATCATCATCATCATCAGCAATCATGATCGCCATCATCAGCATCATCAGCATCATCATCATCGTCGTCATCGTCGTCATCGGCATTACCTGCACCATCACCTGCACCGTCACCATGTCAGTATCCGTACTCATGCCCACATCCATTTACTAATGTACATTCATTTTCATGTTCATACTCAGAACTTTTCCATGTTCAGGCCTACAGCGCAAGTATCACATGATCACGATCATCACCAACATGATGATCAGCAGCAGCATCATCGTCAGCAGAATCAGCATCAGCCTCATCTTCATCATCTTCGTCATCCCCGCTGTTCATTACCATCATCATCGTCGTCGTCTTCGTGGTCGTCGCCGCCAGCCTTTGAACCTAAACCCAACAGTGTCAGTCCTAAACTCTGTAGCCCTAAACTGCAAAACCGTCACCCCTAGAGCCTACAATCCGAAATCCTGAATCCTTGAAATCCCCCTTATAGTATTACCCCCCAAAATCGCCAACAAAGCAGGTAGCCATCTTCCCGAAGCATGCCGTTTGCGACAACTTCTATCAGGAAAGTTGTTGAGTCATTTTGGGTTTGTTGTGGTCTTGTTTCCTTTGAGGGTCTCGCGGGTAGAGGGATTTATTGGGATTTATGGCTTTTAATGGTTAATAAGGACAACATAAGGGTTCAGGATCTGAGGATCCAGGACAAGGGCAAAGGGTTGAGTGGCTTCGGACTTGGGATTTCGGGTGTAAGGGTTTTTCAAAGTTTAGGGTGAGGGATTTTGGGTGTCGAGGTTCAGGGTCGCGGTAACGGGAACTGGGGTTCGAATTTCGGTGGACTTGAGCAATTACATTCTCGATGCTGGGCTTTGATACGGTTGCACTGCTTTGAAGTAGGGTTTGCTCAAATGATAGGAGCTTGCCACAAGACAAGCGTGCGATGGCTTCGGGCGAAGGTGCTGTCAATGGACCCTCAAGGTTTTAGGGTTCAAGCTATACTTGGAGGGGCAGGGGACTTAGTAAGTAGATTCTAAGTAGGGTTATAATTGCGGTAACTCCATTTAGGGTACTTATAACTCTACTTATCACCTACTTACAAAGTCCCCTGCCCCTCCAAGCAGACCCCGAAGCCTAAACCCCATAGATCCCTTTAAGGAACCCTATAGATCCCTTTAGGGAGCCATTACTAAGAGCCCTCACTAAGTCCCCTGCCCTTCCAAGTAGGTCCTAGGGCCTCGGGCCAGTACTGTGCCAGCTTTATCCATCTCTTCCTTGCTGCGATTGGAATGCCAAGCGGATTGCAAGACCTGAGATCTGAAACCCCGTGAATCCTAAGCTCGAAATTTCAAGTTTCGGAGCTGTAAATGCCAAGCCTACTTGGAAGGGCAGGGGACTTAGTAAGTAGGTTATAAGTAGAGTTATAAGTACCCTAAATGGAGTTACCCCAATTATGACCCTACTTATAATCTACTTACTAAGTCCCCTGCCCCTCCAAGTAACCCCCTAAACCCTAAACCCTAAACCCTAAACCCCTAAACCCTAAACCCTAAACCCCTAAACCCCTAAACCCCTAAACCCTAAACCCTAAACCCTAAACCCCTAAAGCCTAAACCCTAAACCCTAAACCCCTAAACCCCTAAACCCCTAAACCCTAAACCCTAAACCCCTATACCCTAAACCCTAAACCCTAAACCCTAAACCCTAAACCCTAAACCCTAAACCCTAAACCCCTAAAGCCTAAACCCTAAACCCTAAACCCCTAAACCCCTAAACCCCTAAACCCTAAACCCTAAACCCCTATACCCTAAACCCTAAACCCTAAACCCCTAAACCCTAAACCCTAAACCCTAAACCCTAAACCCCTAAACCCTAAACCTTAAACCCTAAACCCTAAACCCTAAACCCTAAACCCTAAACCATACCCTCAACCCCAAGCTTCAGGAAGCTTTAGACTTACTTCGTCCCTAGAGCCCGACCCCGAGACCCTAAACCCCCAACTCAAAGGCTTTAGGGTTTAGGGGCTTAGGGGTTTAGGGGTTTTGGGGTTTAGGATTTAAGGGTTCAGGGGTTTAGGGGTTTGGGAGTTTAGGGGTTTAAGGTTGAATTTAGGGCTTAGGGGTTTAGGGTTTAGGGGTTTAGGGATTTAAGGGTTCAGGGGTTTAAGGTTTAATTTAGGGCTTAGAGGTTTAGGGTTTAGGGGTTTAGGGGTTTAGGGGTTTAGGGGGTTTAGTGTTTAATTTAGGGATTCGGGGCCCTCCTCCGGAAACCCGGAACTTGAGGAGCTGCTGAAGTGGCCGACGCGATGGCGCCATTTCTTCTGCTTCCTGAAGCCGGCGGAGGTACCCCGGGTGCTATACTTGGAGGTCCATGGGTAGTTGTAAGTGGAGTTGTAAGTCCCCCAACATGGGTTATAACTGTAGTTACCCTAGTTATAAGCCCACTTATGGGTTTCTAAGGTTCTTAATTCTAGAAGCAACCTGAATCTTGTGAGTCCCGCCGAAGGTAGGGGCTCAGGTTCTTACACTGTGGGTGCTTATACAGGACGTTCACTGTAGGGTTTGAGGATTTCGGGTTTAGGGTCTCGAGTTTTGGGGTTTGAGGCTGAGAGTGTAGGATTTACGGTTGGGGTTTCTTGGGTCCATGGTTGGAGGGGTTCGGGTAAGCTCTTCGGGATATTCTTGGGTGCAACTTCCGTTCTCGGCCCAGCCAAGCTTTACAGCAACCCATCACAAGCTCAGAAAAAAAGTCTACTTAAATGAAAGTCCACAGCCGCGAACCGCAAAGCCTGCGGCTCGAATGCCAAGAACCCAAGATCCTCACAGCGAGCCCAGGCCAAACTCTCAACCCACAGCGATCTGCGCTAGACTTGGGCTCAACCCTCAACAGTTACCAAGATCCACCAAAACCCAGGAGCTACGTCCTAGATCCCCAAAACTTAAAGCCATAAACCCTGTACCGTAAACCCCGAATCCCAACCCTGGGCCCGTACATCCCAAAACCCCCAAGTCCCGAACACAGGCCCAAAGGCTCGAGAGTCCCAGGCATCGCTGGCTAGTGGGGCCAAAGACTGGCGCCGCAAGAAGTTCGATGTGGGCCCCTTAGAATACATAACTCTATACCTTCTACATAGGTGCGGGATATCGAGGGTTCAAGGCTTCATTAGGGGATTAAAGTTGACGGGTTTCAGAGGGAGGCTTTAAGATCTAGGGGAGTTTCGTCGTAGGCTCTTCAAAAATGTAGCGGTTTGAGGATCCTCGGGCTGCCGCCCGTCAGGGTTGCAAGTCTCAGGACTCGGATCACGAGGCCAGGTGTCTTGCAATGGTGTTTTTGATTACCCCGCACCTGTTTACATTCATCACCCTCAACCTTAAACCCTAAATCAGTGCTGCCAACTGCCTCGTTCGATGAGCAGCCCAGTTCCTCTTCAGGGCCCGGCTTCTATTCTCACTGCTCCTAAATCGGGCGGAAGCTATAAGAACTCCTAAGGAGCTCTTTAAGGAACCCTTAAAGAATCCTGAGACTTAAAGAATCCTGAGTAATCAGCATCCGGCATTTCTGAGCTCACCCTCGGCGTGAGGGCTTGAGAGGATTTAGTGTACCCTTTACAGTCCACGTATACACACCGCTTCAAACCCATCCCAGAACACACCTTGCTCTGAATCTTAAAGCCTTCCCTTAAATAATAGCCTCATTACAAATCCAAAATCTTAAAGCCTTCCTCTAAATAATAGCGTTATTCTAGATCCAAAATCTTAAAGCCTTCCCCTAAAAATAGCCTGGTTCAAAATCCAAAATCTTAAATCCTAAACCTTCCCATTTCTGAAGGGCCGGGCTCCGTGCCCTGGGCTTCAGGACTCTTGTGTTTCTGCGTCGGAACACGCCCCTTCCCAAGACAGAAATGGGAGTTTCCGAAAATTAGGGGGGTACCTAATTTTGGGGTCCTTGTAATAAGGATCCTACTATTTAGGGTACTATATTTAGGGTCCCCTATTTTCGGAAACTCCCAAATCCTAAACTCTAAGCCCAAGACCCAGGGCTTTGGAGCTCGTGTCACAGAAAAGGCCTTCAAAACAGAAAAACGATACCCTGAACCCTGAAAACTGAATCCTCCTTTCCCCGAAACCCCACATCCTAAGCTTGCCTGTGAGGTTTGGGATATCAACAACGACAAGTCTCGTGCAGAGGCCAGGCTCGCTCGCTCTTGTAGTGTTCACGGACTGGGAATTCTAATTCTAAAATTTGAATAGTATCCCCTTATGGCCTATATAGCACAAGATGCCTCAGAAACCCAAGGCCACATGTTCTCGTTCTGAAAACTTTAGATTCCAGATTCTCCGCAGCTCCTTATCGTCCATCTGATTGTGATGGTTGCCCTTGTTACGTTGCCATGGACAGGAGCGTGATATATGTAAGTGCCGCCAGTAACTTTTTTCGCGGCAGCACCGCAGTAGCAACAGCAGTACGTCGAATATGTAGAGCAAGAGTTTCAAGCTGCAGGATCCTTGCCAGCTGTTGTCGAGGCCAAGACACGGGGTGTGCGCCTGGAGAAAATCATCCGGGAGCTCACCGACAGTATTCAGGAGGTTCGGGGACAGAGTCACTGAGTTGCCAGATAGGGCTCTTCAACCAATTATCTCTTCCAAGCCCTACGGTTGATGATATAAATCCAGCATTACCCATATTAAGGAATATACCATAATTCCCATAGTATAGGGTCCTTAAGGTACTGCAGGATTCATATCATCAACCGTAGCAAGCAGAGCCCCACAACTGCAAGGCCGGAATGCCCACACTCTTCTTTTGGGACCAACTTGGAAGGGCAGGGGACTTAGTAAGTAGGTTGTAAGTAGAGTTATAAGTTATAAGTACCCTAAATGGAGTTACCCCAATTATGACCCCACTTATAACCTACTTACTAAGTCCCCTGCCCTTCCAAGAAGGCCTTGGAGATGAGACATGCCATTCGCGGGGGCAAGGCCTGCTGGCTTCCGTCGCCGAGCCTGGCTGCCGTGCTGCCTGCGGCAGAGTTAAACTTTCAGGCTTTTGGGGTTTAGGGTTTAGGGTTTAGGGTTTAGGTTTAGGGTTTAGGGTTTACAGTTGAAGGTTTCGGCAAGTACGCGGGCCTTTGATCCCTCCCTAAACCTTTAAAGCCGAAATCCTAGCCACCCAAGCCTTAAAACGCATGATAAACAGGGAGCTTGCCTGTTGCAGGTGACCTCCAGGTTTGCGCGAGGCTTCCTGGAGGATCAGCGGGCTCTGTGTGCGGGTTGGGGATCAAGCTTTCATGTGTTTGGGTCTTTCGGTCCAGGATGAGGAATGTGTTTTCTTGCTTTCGGGTGTAGGGTTTCGGGCCTGCGGCCTGAATGCATTCCCTGCGGAGCATCAACAAGTGCTCTGCTGGTCCAGCTCTGGTTCTTCGCTTAAACAGCGACAATGACTACGTCTACCGCCAAGGCTACTGCAGCTGCTGCTGCTGCTGCTACTACTACTACTACTACTACTACTTCTATTTCTGTTTACTGCTACGGCTACTGCTACATCTGCTGCTACTAGTACTAGTACTAGTACTAGTACTAGTACTAGTACTAGTACTAGTACTAGTACTAGTACTACTACTATCACTACTACTACTACTACTACTACTACTACTACTACTACTACTACTACTACTACTACTACTACTACTACTACTACTACTACTACTAGTACTACTACTACTTCTGCTTCTCCTACTTTTTTCTACTCCTACTCCTAGTCCTACTCCTACTCCTGTTGCTTCCTCTAAAGCTGCTATTGTCTGCTAGTTTCGTTGTCTCGTACTTCAGCTCATGGTTGTTCTTGCCCAGACAATCCTGCTTACAAGCAAAGGCATCCAACATTGTCCTCGCCCAGTTTCTCCATGCGGCCCTGGCCTTGTCTAGACTAGACCCTAAACCCTCAACCCTCAACCCTAAACCCTAAACCCTGTGCAGAAATCCATAGGGTCCCAGATTCCGTATCTTGAGGGTCGAATCCCAGGAAGCTTCAACTACTGTCCCGAGTTCCGGATCCTAAACCCTAAGCCCTAAACCCAACCTCTAAACCCTAAGCCCTAAACCCAAAGCCGTAAACCCTAAACCCCAAACCCTAAGTCTCAAACCCTAAACCCTAAGCCCTAAACCCAAAGCCCTAAACCCTAAACCCTAAACCCTAAGTCTCAAACCCTAAACCCTAAGCCCTAAACCAGCCATTTTGGCTCAAGTTTTTCGCGTTGGGCGGGCTCCAGCGGAGGCCCTACTGACGTGCCAGAACTCTTCGAGTATCGGCGACATCTTCCCGTTCACGGCCGCGGCTCTAAAATGGGGCCCCTCACACTTTACGCGTCGTAGCGACGCCAAAAGATTGAGGATGGCTACCCCTGTAAACCCCACTGACTTGTGGGTGATCTCGCCGGATGGCACTCCCCCTGACTCCCCTGATGAGAGGGCCAGAGAGAGAATCGTAGCCACATCGAGGTTGCTCATGGGGCTAGCGATGAGGCCTGGAGGACTGACTTCCCTTGCAAATGGGACGATCAGCTCCATGGCGACTCAAGTGGCGAAATCATGCGACCTAGGTCAGCGAGTCAGCTAGTTTCGTCCACCTCCACCTTTCAGTGCGGGTACCTGGGTATCGGCGCGCAAAGTTGGTGCAGATGAAAGCAAGGTTTCCATTCCTCGGAACCTGCTTTACCTGTATGTTCCACCCAATGCCCATGGGGTAGAAGTGGAATATTCAAATTCGACCCTGTCTGGCTTTGCTGTAAGGCAGGTAGTCGAAGTTGACTGGACGCTGGGGAAGCAAGCAGGTGTACTTGCTTTATGCGGCGTCTTGTCCGGAAAGTTCCGCGTTGTGGGGAACCTTTCGGATGTTGTTGACTCCAAGCCTGCATTTAAGGCATTGGGTGAACAGCGATCCTTGGATGCGGCCACTACTGTAGTATTTGGCTCTGCGCTTGCAAGGATGAAGAAAGAGGCGTTGTGGTTCGAGCCGTGCGTAGTTTCCCGTAGGGTCCGGCGCTGCATCGAGCTGGTGTTCACCAAGGTCAACAAACTCAGGTTCGTCGAGATCATGAAGGTTCTGTACAGGCAGACTAGCGATGTGCCAGCAAGCGCCGCAATCGCGGTGGTCGGGACACGGACAAATAGGATCCTCTCCGCTTCGGCGGATCGTTACGTCTGGCGCCCATCTTGCTTCGGGCCCCGACAGAGGCTGTGGCGAGGCCTCCCCAAACGGGGACGGAGACGCCTCAACCTGAGGGCACACTGCAGGAGTTGCCGACACTCCGGACCCGCCTAAGGTGTGCACGGGTGCTGTGCAGTTTTCCGGAGCGTGTTTTTTTCCACAAAACAAAAGCGACCAGGGGATGGATGTTTCGCAGTCATGTTGCGAGTGCCGGTGCAGTGACATTTGCCGTTGGTATCCAGTGTTGCTAGATGATAGTGTTATTCCTTCTGGTGGTCGTGTTGGGTCGTTTCAGTGGTTGTTGCTGTATCGAGGCGCCGGCTACTGCGGTGGCGGTATTTTTTCGGTATTTTTTTACAGTTTTTTTTGGTATTTTTTCCGGTCGCCTGCCCAAGCAAGCAAGCAAGCAAGCAAGCAAGCAAGCAAGCAAGCAAGCAAGGAAGGAAGGAAGGAAGCAAGCAAGCAAGCAAGCAAGCAAGCCAGCAAGCCAGGAAGAGAGCAAGCAAGCAAGCAAGGAAGGAAGCAAGGAAGGAAGGAAGCAAAGGCAAGCAAGCAAGCAAGCAAGAAAGGAAGCAAGTAAGGAAGGAAGCAAAGGCAAGCAAGCAAGCAAGCAGGCAAGGAAGCGAGGAATCGAGGAAGCGAGGAAGCAAGCACGGAAGCGAGGTAGCGAGGAAGCGAGCAAGCAAGGAAGGAAGGAAGCAAAGGCAAGCAAGTAAGCAAGCAAGAATGGAAGCAAGGAAGAAAGGAAGCAAAGGCAAGCAAGCAAGCAAGCAAAGAAGTTAGCAGGCAAAGAAGGAAGCAAGGAAGGAATCGAGGAAGGAAGCAAGCAACCAAGCTTCGCAGCGCATGCCTGTAGAGCAGAAGCATCAGAAGCGTATCTGTAGACTGTGATATACATATATATGTATATATGTATATATATATATGTATATATTACTTGCATATCGACACATACACACATACACACACACACATACACACGCACACACACATACGCATACACACACACATATATATATATATATACATATACTTGCGCACAAATGTATATGTAACAAGTAGCTGAATGTCTATGCGTATATGAGCAACTCTGCCTACATAACACGATTGGTTTAAAGCTGCGGCGTTTCACCGCCCAATCCCAACTGATAAAAGCACACTATGGATGTATTATGATCTTGTGCATCGGCTGATTGCACATCCATGCCTGGTCGGCTGCATTGGAATTTACACGTGTCCTTTGAAACCTTCCCTCTTCCAGACTTCCAGTGGCCGGGCCTTGAAAATGTCATTTTGGACTACAAACTCAGCACGCGGAACGCTCTTCCAGTGGCCGGACTTGGAAATTGCTTGCTTGGAGTACAAACTCAGTACGCGGAACCCTCTTCCGGTGGCGGGGCCTTGATACTGCTCTTTTGGAGTACAAACTGAGTACGCGGAACGCTCCTCCGGCGGCTGGCCCTTGTGAAATTATAAATATAAATATAAATATAAATATAAATATAGATATAAATAATAATATAAATATAAATATAAATATAAATATATGTATATGTATATATGTTAAGCCGGAATCGCTCAAGAAGGGTGTGTGTGTGTGTGTGTGTGTTTACGACTAATGATGAACCCCACTCGTCTGGCGTGCTTTAGATGCATGATAACCGGAATCGCCAAATGAGGGTGGCCTCTTTAAGATGTACGATGGACCGGAATCTCGCATTCAGCGGGCGTTTTTAAGATATATGAAGAACCCCGCTGGTCTGGCGTGTTTAAAGTTATGATAGCCGGAATCGCCAAATGAGGGGCGCGTTCTAAATGCATAAATGAATAAAAGCAGTATATATATATATATGATACACCGGAAACGCTCAATGGTGGGGGGGTTTTAATATATCTGATAAACCGGAATCGCCCAATTGGGGGGGTGTTTAAGATATATGTTGACCCCCACTGGTCTTGCGTGTTGAAAGTCGGGTGTGGTGAAAGTATATGATAGCCGGAATCGCTAGATGAGGGGGGTGTTTAAATATATATATATATATATATATGATAAACCGGAATCGCTCAATGGGCGGGGGTGTTTAAGATATATGATAACCGGTTTAAGTATAAATGATAATCCGAAACCGCTCAATTGGGGGGGCGTGTGTTTCATATATATATATATATATTTATTTATTTATATATATATATATATATATTTGTTTATTTATTTACTTGTGTATTTAAATATTTATACTTGTTTATTTATATGTGACGAACCTCACTGGTCTGCCGTGTTGAAAGTACGTGATAGGCGGAATCGCCAGATGAGGGGCGTGTTTATATAGATAAATAATATATATATATACACATATATATATGTATGTATGTATGTATGTATGTATGTATGTGTATATATATATATATACATATGCTGAACCGGACTCGCCCAATCGGGGGGCGTGTTTAAGGTATATGATAGCCGGAATCGCCAAATAAGGGGCGTGTGTGTGAATTTAAAACATATATATATATATATACACATAAATACATATATATATATATATGTATATATATGTATATATATATATATATATATATATATCTTTACATGATAAACCGGAATCGCTCAGTGGGGGGGGTTAAGATATATGATACCCGGAATCGCCAAAGGAGGGGCGCGTTTAAATACTTGTTTAAGCGGAATCGCCCAATGGGGGGGTGTTGAAGATATTTGATGAGCCCCACTGGTCTGGCGTGCCGTGTTTAAGGTATATGATAGCCGGAATCGCCACATGAGGGGCGTGTGTGAATTTCAAAACAAAAGGATATATGTATATATATGTATATATATGTATATATATATATATGTATATATATATATATGTATATATATATAAATATTTATGATAAACCGGAATCGCTCAGTGGGGGGGGGGTTAAGATATATGATACCCGGAATCGCCACAGCGACCCCACAAGAGTCCAAAACCCAAAAGCCTAAACCGCTGCTGAGGAAAGACTTCCACGAGCCCGAAGGGCAAAGCGTGGCAGGATTT